GAAAATGGGGGTGTCCGATGTAAATCTAACGTGTCCTAAAAGCAGAGCATGTTCTTCTGTTTCCGCCTGTTTAGTTGTATTTGACGTGGCGTTCCATAGACACTTGGTTCCACACAAGGCTAACGATTGTCTGTGGAAATTTGCGGCTATTCAGCAAAAGACAACAGTTTAGCATCCCATGGGAGAGAGACAACTCTGGGCTTGGATACTTCGGTTTACCTGTTGGGTTCTGGGCTTTAGCCTCCATTGACGCTCCCAACCAAACGTTAAATTAGGATAATTATTAATTTTATTAAAATACAATAATAAATTTATCAAATTATTAATCATTTAATAATTATTTATTTTTATAAAAATAGTTAGCTTTATTAAAAATAAGAAGTATCCAAAATTATAGTAAAATTTTAGGACTATTGGTACACACATAAACTAAACATATAGTTAGGATATTTTTATATTCTATAACCAATAACATAAAAATTTAACTGCTATCACATAAAATCAAACTACTTAAAGACTATTGACAAACCGCAAATCATATATCTTAGTTGATTGTGTCATCTTTTTTTAATAAAAAAATAATCTTAGCAAGACAAAAAGAACTATTGATTATGCAATTCTTTGATAGAATGTAAATGCTTTCTCTTCAAATATAATAACTGCTCAAGTATTTGACAAAAGATGGAGACCTTAGATTTTTAAACATTCAATATGAACTTTAACCTTACCTACATCTCTTGTTTGTGTGCATGCATTCACATGGAACGCTATTTTTTTGTTCTTCTTCTGCTCCTAATTATAATTATTTTAGGGGCTGTTTGTTTGCATCTTAATGGAACCATTCAGTGTTGATTGATTCAACAAAACAATGTTGAATGATTCAGCACATAAGTACATTCTGAATGATTCAGAACCATTATCAAACAGCATGTCACATTCAGAGCTAATTCATACAGAGCCTCTGAATCATTTAATATTTGAATCATTCAGCGCTTAATCATTCTAAAGTAAACAAACAACCCCTTACATTATGAAATTATGAACAATAGGCGACAAAAAACATTTATACATGTCGCTAATAACTGTAAGAAACTGCTCTTTGATGGGAACATGAAATACTCCATACTCAAACCTACCATGTTTTTTTCCTTCTTGGAATTAAAAATAAAAATTTATCCGAAAACTTGCACCACTAACTCATTTTAACCATGAAATCATAGAAAAAAAGGCGTGTTGGGAGCTTATAACTTGCTATAGTAAAACTTGTTTATTTATTATAATGGATTAGTATTATGAACAATAAATCTATTATTACAATAATACAACCAAAAAATACAAATTAAATACGTATGAATTTTGAAGAACTAAATTAAACGAGAGAGAAAACAACAGATTATCTACCGACGGTAACTAGCTGAAATGCTTTGCTGTTGAGGAGACTTAAGAGGACACTTCGCGGTATCTGCCCGTCCATTCCTACTTTCTTTCTTTCTTTTTCCCTAATTTTTTTTACGTGATAATAATAATAACAATAAGCTTAATCCCACACAATAACCACGCGCGTGATTTAATATCCGTTCATGTCCTGTTTGTATCACCAGCCACTGGGACCTTCGAGGGTGTTTTATCCTCTCTTTTTTAATGAATTTTGGCAATAATCTACTTCTGGAAGGAAATCGTGGGGTTGTAATAATATAATATCATAAGATTTGTACCCTTCCTTCAAATTACAAGTATTTATTGGTTCACGAAAAAGATCGTAGAATAATTTTTTTCCATAATTGTATTCTATGTTTGATTTGTGAGAAAGATCATTACCAGGTAATAAACTTTTTGGTTATAATGATTGAAATATCATTATTTTTAAATTTTTAGGTGATGAACAATTTTAATCACTTTGAACACAAACGCTCCTAAAATAATGAATTATTCCATATGGATCATTCTTCTTATTTTACTCGAAACTATAAACTTAATAATAAAAATATATAAATATTTTAATTTAATAAAATATTAATAAGTTTGAGTAGTTCAATTTTTTTCTTCATATTTTTAATATTTGTATATTAGTTAATTTTATGAGGTGAAAATGTTATTATTGTACAAAAATGTTATTATTTAAAATAATATTTTAACTATTTATAATGACATTTTAGCAAAGAAATATCACTTATGGGGGGTTTACGCTCCAAAGTGCAGTAGTGAGAAGTAGTAATAATGTTCGCTCCTGGCAGCATCCACCTCTTGGCTGGTTAAAGGTGAACGCAGATGGTGGTCGCCGTAAGGGTACTGGCAGCTCCTCGTGTGGAGGAGTTATTCGTGACCATGATAGGGAATGGAATATGGGTTCTACAAAAATTTATTGGAATCTGTTCTGTTCTGGAAGTGTAAATTTGGGGTGTCTTTCTTGGGTTACTATGTGCTATGGAAATGGGGGGACTTGTTAAGTTTTGTTTAATAAAGTAAGCTGTAATTTAAAGACAACAATTCTAATTACACACGTTCTATAATTTGAATTTTAAATTTATTCAATATTAAATATTTTTTGTAATTATATTCATTAAATAGCTAGACATCAATTTTCCTCCTTTTTAGCTAAAGTGGCAAGCAAAGCAAAGGCATTGTGTGCGAGTAATGCTGCTGTAAAAGGGTCTCATTTCAATCATTGCAACCACGCTCCAATAATTAAGAAAATAAATTGAGAATAATTAGTTAAAATATTATTTAAATATGTGTAATATTGTTTAAATGTTTCATTAATAAAAAATAAAAAATATATAATAATTTTACATTGTAATTAATTAATTAAAATTATTTATATAAAAAACTCATCATTTTAAGAATAATTTTATTCAGAATGACAAAAATTAATAATTAAATAAATATTGAGTGAGAATAGTTTTTTTAGAATCTTACTAAGAAATTCCTAATGTTAATAATATTTTTATCAACGTAAAATTGAGAATAAATCAAACATGAAAATAAATTGTTTTTAAAAATTATTATCTTTAACAATAGTTTTCCTATACGAACCAAACCTCCTTGGATTTTTCCTTTTTTCCACATTGTTCAACACGTGGGGCAAACAGTTTTATTAATTAGTCCAATAGTACATATAAAAGTTTATTCCACGATCTAGATAATTTATTCTGGTATTTAAAGAATTCATCACGTCGATATAATAAGTTTATCTAAATTATATATATTTTTATTTAAATTTGTTATTTTAGATATAATTTTTTATTAAATTTGATCACATCGGACTAAAAATTTAAATAAAAAATATTTTTATTAAAACTAATCACCCACGTAGATCCAAAAATAAACTTCTATATGCCCTATGTGTTAATTAATAAAATTGTTTGCCTTATTGGGAAAAAAACCGTTAAGGGGATATATGTAATCTGGGTTTGCATTTATTTATTTATCATCAGTATTTTAATTATAAAGCAATACTTAGTAAATCAACAATAATTAAGAATATTTGAGATAAAACATAATTAATAATTAAGAAAATAGAGTTATGGGTTGAAAACGGCATGTGCTGAGATTTTAATTAATTAAGTTGGCGTGTGTTTGAGAAACACTTTGGTGTCTTTCTGTCGGGTAGCCATGAATGTATTTGTGTGCTGAAAAGTGTTTAGGTTACAAATGACTAAATCCTTCAATAATTAATAGTGGAAATGTCCCAACAAAATATTTTGGCTATCCGTCGAAATTTAAACCGCATATGAAAATGGTATAACGATGGTCATTTACTTATTTGCTAATATTTAATTATCATGTATTCATGTTTAATCTTAATTATTTGTTAATATATTATAAAAATATTTATTGTTAAATATTTATCTCAACGTAAAATGAAATACTAGTAATTTCTTTTATTTATTTTGATTATTACTAACTGAGATATTTTAAAAGTATAAAAGTCAATACTCTGCAATTGGGCTAAACTCACGATATAATGCTTTCAAAATAAATAATTCACGAGATAATGCACTCCCCATATTATTTGCTGAAATAGGGTGAAATCCACAGTGTGGCCGTAGGTCGCCGTGCCTTCCGGGCGACCTACTACGTCGCCATGGCTTCCCGACGAGTTGCACAGAGATAATAGACGTCTGCATGTGCCATGGACGTCCCCAACACCCAACATAGGTCGCCATGCACTCCCAGCGACCTACAAGGTCGTCATGCACTCCCAGCGACCTTGTAGGTTGCCAAGCAGTCCCGACGATCAAGCTTGGTTGTTTTCATGCTGATCCTCGTCATATTGCTTGCATGCTTGGTTGTTTTGATCTACGTGGTCACCATGAAAGGCTCGGGCCACCTCGAATCGAGTCGGGCTTACTTGGAATATCGTCTTGAAGATTTTTCGGGTTGGCTTCAACAGAGAGTTCGGAGTTCTTACAAATGGGGTGAATTCAGTAATGGTCATAGGTCGTTGGGAGTGCATGGCGACCTGTGTTGGGGTGTTGGGGACGTGCATGGCACATGCAGACGTCCAGGGAAGCCCATGGCGACGTAGTAGGTCGCCCGGAAGGCATGGCGACCTACGGCCACTGTGGATTTCACCCTATTTCAGCAAATAATATGAGGAGTGCATTATCTCGTGAATCATTTATTTTGAAAGCATTATATCGTGAGTTTAGCCCTGCAATTGTTTAGATATAAATATATTTTGTAAAATTCTATTAATAATATGGATTGAACAGCGCTAATAATTTTGATATATGCCTTTCTTATTATACAGCCAGAAAATAAGAAAAAAATGACACATTTTAATAATTCCCGACATATTACTAAAAATACTTGAAATAAATTAATTTGTAGTAACAATTATTTCCGACAATTTTTAAAATTATTAAATACGTAGATAATTGCAATTAATCAGCTAAATCTCTCTCCCGTCTTCCAACACAGTTTATAAAGCCCCTCACCTCAGAAACTCAAGAGAACAGAAAATACAAAGAAAATCTCGCAAAGGCGGCCCATTTTTAATGGAAGTAACCCGTGACCCTCCGCCGTTGTGGCCACAACTGCCTACTTTCGTTTCTCGCCGACGGCCGCCGTCTCTTATTTTCAGCCTCCCGGTCCTCATCATTCTCTTACCCATTCTCGCATTGCTTCTCTTGTTCTTGGTAGTCCCTCCTTTTCTCTCCGTCGCCGCTCAGATTCTTAGACCCCTCGGTATCAGAAAAAGCTGGGACTCCCTCAACGTTTTTCTGGTCTTGTCTGCTATTATTTGCGGCGTCTTGGCTCGAAGAAACGACGACTACGAGTCCAACAACGGCAACGGAATTAGAAATTATAATATTAGTGATGATAGAAAGGCAAGCGGCCGTCATGTTCATGTTTCTCAACAATGGTTTGAGCATCAGGAAAGGAAGACATACGATGGTGGTGCTCCGATCAACATGAGGCCGTTTCCGGCAACCTGTGTTAGGAGGTTAAAGAGAAGCAGTAGCTCGTACCCAGATCTGCGACTGGATTCTTTGTGGGAGAATAATGAAGATCGGTTTCGGTTCTTTGATGATTTTGAAATAAACAAATATCGATCTTCAACGAGTTCTGATGATCAAGTTCACGAGCTTCGTAGGAGTTGGAGGAGCGGATTTGAAGAATCAGAAGCCAAGGTTATTCCTGTTGATACCTTTGTGCTTCGTTCTTCTCCTTCATCGTCTCCGTCGAAGTCTCCACCACCTTCAACGCCGCCTCCACCGCCGCTTACACCTCCGGTTTCCCGTCATAAACCGAAGCGAAGTTATCAGGCAGTTGGGCAGAAAGATCATAAGGTGATGGATCAGAATGATCGTGTTGATTTCAATGAGATTAAATCTCCATCAGTAACACCACCACCGCCTTCGCCTCAACCCCCTCGACGACCACCACCGCCGCTAGTTCAAGTGGGAAATAGATCAGAGCAGAAGTATGGGAAATTGGAACGTAGAAAAAGTACTGCAACCAAAGAAATAAATATGGTTTTCGCTTCATTACGGAAGAGAAAGAGGAAACACAAGTCACAAGACCATGATCATCAGCAAGATTATCCTTTGCATTCTCCGACTGAGCCACCGCCTTGTTATTCTACCAGCATACAACCAACATCACCGGCACCGCCTCCACCGCCTCCGCCACCACCTCCCACTTTCTTTCAAAAATACAATCTTTTCAGAAAGGGCAGCAAAAGCAAAAAAATCCATTCTGTTCCTACGCCCCCGCCTCCATCGCCAACAGCAGCGTTTTCGTTTTCAAAACGATCATCTAAGCAAAACATTCAGATCCCACCAACACCACCGCCCGCACCAACACCGGCTACTTTCTATACAAAAAGATTATCAACGCAAAACAATCAGATCCCGCCACCTGAACCTTCAACGACCCGAACTACGGCTAACAACGGCAAACCACAAATGCCTACAAAAGCAAATACTATTAGTTACTATGATGAGAACGTGAACAGCGGCGGACAGTCGCCGTTAATTCCGATGCCCCCACCTCCACCACCATTTAAGATGCCAGATTTTAAGTTGGTGATTGGTGGGGATTTTGTTAAGATACGAAGCAGTCCTAGCTCACGGTGTAGCTCTCCCGACTTGGAAGAAATTGATGTTCCTTCAAGCAAAGATGAAACGGAAACAGCCAGCATGATGGAGAGTGACGATGGGGTTGGAGTTGCAGGCGTCCCAGTGTGTTGTCCCAGTCCCGATGTTAACGCTAAAGCCGAGACCTTCATCGCCAGACTCCGGGACGGATGGGAATTGGAGAAGATAAACTCCATCAAAGAGAAGCAAAGGATATAAGCGGAGATCCAACAAAGACAATTTCGAAGAACAAGTTCTGTTCACAATTCAAAATTTACTGGTGGAATTTGGTTTCTCCTTATAAACAAGATTAAACAATACATTACAACAGGGATATATATAATCATTTCAATCACGAGTGTATTAATTTTAGTAGATACATGACTAGGAATGGAAAGACATCTTCATGGGAGTTAATTTTAGTTCACTGTCATGAAGATCCTATCCTCAAGTTTGAGTTTGTTGCAGTTTCTGATCATTTCAAGAGTATTATCCTGGATGCCACCCTGACTGTTTTTTTGGGCCAGTTGATCTGTATTGAGATTAATGGAGTTGCTGATTGTATGTTTTTTGTTCATATTTCTTTTTATTAGTACATCTTAATTATGTGCTCCCAATTTATTGGCTTGAAGACAAAGGAGAAACTACTGAATTAAATTCACAGAATTTATTGGTCACCCGAATTCAAGATGAAGCTGGGCTAAGGCCTTAGGCTACGCATAAATGGCTGAAATAGTTGGGTACATTTTTTGAGGGACTTGAATTAAAAGTGTCGATAGACAGAAGATCACTACCTGCTGCAGCAACCTGTTAAAGCTCTCCTTTAATTATATACAACAAATGTTCCTTTTTTGGGTGCCATTGCTTCAAATCAAACGAAAACTTTAGCACAATGCTTTCAACTTGTTGTTTCTTGTAATGCACTTCGTATTAATTAATTAATTAACAAATTGTTTCTGATACAAATATCTATTGATTTTGTTTCATTGCTCCCATGAGGACTAGAATTCTAGTAATAAAATTACATCGCTTAAAAGAGTAATGCCCTATTTGGATATTACAACCATACATAGAAAAGTGACAAATTTGTTGAATTCAGCAGCAAGAGGCGTGTCACGGGCCATACCATGATTGACACTTTGAAATTGATGGAAGGTCTCACCCAACCTACTTTTCTTCTGTATCTTTATTTTTCTAATCTATATGCTTTTTTCATGAATCGTGACTTCTTATTCAATGAATAAATCAAGAATGAATTGATCATGTCGATACATCAGTCCATGGAATCTGGACCACCAATATTTTTGTGACGCTGAGGGGAAAGCTGTAATCTGGGCCATTTCAGGTCATTCTAGGTGGGTGTCGAGCGTGGGTGCTAGCTTTCATGTAAAGGCTACTGGCAAAAGCTCAAGTGACACGAATGTAAGGTTATGTGATTTTAATATGGCAGCAACAGAATCACATAGACCAACTCCGGCAGTGGCATTTCGACCTGGGTCGTTCTCGGTTCAAATGGCAAAAGCTCATTGTACCTCGAATATGCAACCAAGCTACAATGGTCAATAAAGAAGCATCTGAGATCTAAATTGAAATAACTTCCATTGATATTTACATCCAAGTATCTTCCCATTGATATGCCTCTTCGCAGTTCGAGAAGATAGAAATCTTTAACATGCAATATGAAAACCATTCTACGTGTTGGGAAAAGAACATTAAAGCACAAGCAACTGCATGACCAAGACCACAAAAGCGCAAGCAGTTCCAAACTTGATAATCAAATTTATTGAGAACTTTCCATGTACAATAAAAATATAGAAGAAATAATTGAAATCCATAACTCCACTTACATACATACTTCATGGCAAGAATGCAGAGTGATGGTATCTTCATAGGTATATTCTGGAGGCACAATCATCTATCTAGCTCGAAGATCTGATTGCCGAAAGCCACATATAGAAACCTTTTATTGAACAATTAAATAAAGCAATTATAAGTCTGTAACACAATCCTGATCTACGTAGGAAAAAAAGCATTATGCTTCTGATTCAAAGAAGTTTAGATTACTAATGTGGCTGACAGATGATTTGTAAACTAGGTGCTACCACAATCTAGATCGAAACTTCTTGAGACAAGAAGAAATCCAAGAATAAATCTCAGAGAGTACAAACTCCTAAACTTACAAAATGTAGCACCTAGAGCTTTGGAGCTTTATCTCCCAAATACTTCATCAGCACATCCATAACAGAACCAAAATCTGCCTTCACTTGCATGGGCGGATTAGCAAACCGGCAAGCCATATCTGGAATCTCCTTCGAGTGATAATCGACCTTAGACTGTGTAAACTTCAATCCATGAGCTGTACTAACCACAACAGTCCTGACCCCGGCTCCAATAATCCCACTATTCCTAAGCTTCATTAAAGCAGTCAATGCCACTCCAGTATGAGGGCAAATAAACATCCCTGTAGAATCAGCCTGCGCCATTGCATCCATTAACTCATCCTCAGTCGCTTCCTCAACAATCCCATTTGAATTTTTCAGAGCATACACGGCTCTATCAATAGAAACAGGATCACCAATTTGAATAGCCGAGGCAAAAGTAGTATTTGCCTTGACTGCCTTAAACTCACTCCACCCTGATTTATAATACATATAAAGTGGATTGGCATTGGCTGCTTGGGCACAAACCAATCTAGGTATCCTATCAACAAGCCCTAGTTCTTGACACATTTTGAACCCTTTGTAAAAAGCATAAATATTACCCAAATTGCCACCAGGAACAATGACCCAATCGGGAACTTGCCAATTAAACTGCTGTAAAATCTCAATTGCAGCCGTTTTCTGCCCTTCGAGTCTTAAACTGTTGAGTGAATTGGCAAGGTAAATTGGTAGCTCGGAGGTAACTTCCCGGATTAACTTCATGCAACCATCAAAATCAGTGTCGATACTCAAAACGAACGCGCCATTCGCAATGGGTTGAACTAGTTGGGCAATGGAGATTTTATTCGCGGGTAGAAAGACAATGGAAGGAATACCAGCAGCAGCGCAATAAGCGGATAAGGCAGCTGATGTGTCACCCGTAGAAGCACAGCCGACTCCGACGACTGGTCGTTTCAGTTTTCGCAGTCGATTAACTTGACTGACCAAAACGGTCATTCCCAGATCCTTGAAACTGCCGGTGTGGCTGATTCCACAGTGTTTAACCCACAAATCGTCCATTCCTAGAAACTGTTTCCCGAACCGTTCCGCCCAAAACAAATTGGAGTTCCCTTCGAAAGCCGAAACGATGTCATCCGGGTCAATCTCGGGTAAAAGCCACTCCTTTTTGGACCAAACTCCAGACCTGTACGGCCACGTGGTTTTCCCTACGCGCGAATCGAATAAATCCCTCCAATACGCGCCATCGAACTTCCTCAAAGCCTCCATATCGTGTTGAACGTCGAGCAGTCCACCGGAACAGCTCCTGTAAACGATCTCGTCGAGAGAGTATGACTCAGTGGAGTCGGGTCCAGCGTTGAACGGAACATATTTCGCGGAGAGGGTGTTCTTAGCGGTGGATCGGTGGCGACGAGCCTCGTCGCGGATGTTCTCATCGGCGTGGCGTCGGTCCTTTTGGGGTGAAGGGGAGTTGTTGCTTGAGGAACTAGTGGCGGAGGAGGAATCGAATGTGGAAGAGGAGAAACATGAGATAACAGTAGGGGCGGGGCGATTGAATCCGCGGTGGTTCTGATGGTGCAGCGACGGAAAGTTGGATTTGGAGGCGAGAGAAGAGTGGAACAACGAACAAGAGTAAGCCATGTTTGAGAATGGAGGCGGCGGGCTGTGACGTGATACAAGTGATGGGAAATAAGGAGCGCAAAATGGAGATGGGTTGTTTTGCTGGGCCCTCAAGGCCGATGCCATAGTCTCGAAAGACCTTTCTATCCGTTCGATTTTTCGCTTGTTAATCTTAATCTATTTCTGATTTTATCTTTTTCTTAAAATTATTTGGATAAAAATAATATTTAAATTCAAATCATATAAATTAGAGATTATTTTCATGCATCAGTTACTCTTTCTCTGTGGCAGTTATTTTCTTTGGCCATTGGTTACAAAAGTTTCTCGTTCTCATGTAGAGGTGGTGTAACACTGTAAACTAGTAGGACAAACGACCATTTAGAATGTCACACGGAACCATTAGAATTATTAACCTAAAAATTTTCTTTTAATTACTCATTTAAATCATGATTTTAAACGAACCAATTAAGACAAATAAATCAACCATAAATATATATACAATAAACTTAAATCGGGAAGCTCCCAAAAGTACACGTATATCAAAATATAAAACTCAACTTTTAAAAATAAAGTTATGACTCGAATATATTATTAGGGTCTACAAATAATATATGCCATCCAAAAAAGATATTTCGAGACGTACTCTGCTCCACTCCGTATGGATATTGGCTGTTCAAAAGGCTCCTCAAATGCTCCTCGTACTAACGTGCGTAAGGAAACAAATTCCAAACGTTGAGCTTACTAGTTTAGTGCCACACTAACAATTAACTCATACTATAAGTGTTTAGTAAATGCTCAAACTATCAAGTATAATGCAATAGTGAGTTCTCTACTCTATGGTTGGCATCATGGTGCAATTGAGAGTTTTGCATCTCAGAGTTCACGCACCACTCTAGTCTACCAAAGACGAAGCCCGAAATCTCTACATCGGACACAACACCTTCGCTAACCCACCCTTCGCGAGTGTCAAGCCTAGACCCTAGTTAATCAATTTAAAGTGCCTCCCGCACTACCTAAGGATATCCGAATTGATTCTATTTCTCGATACTAGAATCATTTACTAAAGTGGCTCGAGTGTTCTGATCATTTCTCGAGTTTTCAACCAAGGCTAGTTTTTGTCCCCCTAATTGATCTTAGTTAAATGAAAAATAATGTACTTTATTTTTTTCAATTATGTGTTAAGTTTTTGGGTTTTCCTTTTTTGAGTGTGACCAAGTACAATAGGTACATGAACCAACTTATCTTAGTAATTAAATGAATTGTTGTTGTTGTTTTGTGAGGTTACGAGTTCGAACACCAACGACTATAGCATAATGATTGAGCATTCATATCAAGTGATCGAAAATATTTAAAACATACACTATTTTATAATCACATTTAACTTAATAAATAGATAAAAATATAACAGTTGCATTTCATAGGTCACCATTTGTCGGCTCATTA